AATTAAATCTTTACATTTATTTAAGTTTTAAAAATTTGCCCCCACCCCAACACCTTTGCTGGTACTGGGAATTGACCCAGGGGCACTGTATCACTAGGTTCCTCATTATGTGCTGAGGAATTTAAATATCTTACTTCATTATATACTGATGATTGAGTACTGAACCTTTAGGCTGAGGTACATCACCAACCCCTTCCTTTTAACAATAGAGACAGGGTATGCTGTGGCAGGCAGAAACACCAAAGTGACATCCAGGACTTGGAAGCAGATTGATTTACTGTTGAACAGGTACTGACTGATAATCCTGATCTCTGGTGGTCTAGGACTTACATGGGTTAAGCAGTCAGAGGTACAGAGGGCTGGAGAGATAGCTCAGAGGCCAAGGCATCTACATGGCAAGCACAAGGACCCGAGTTCGATCCCCGGCCCAACATGCCATGCTTTCTCAGCCCCAGGTGCCCAGGTACACCAAGACATGTGGCCCCAGAACCGGGTATGGTAGTAGCACATGCCGGTCCCAGCACACAGGAGCTTGAGCCAGGAGGATCTTTGTGAGTTTGAGACCAGCCTTGGGCTATAAAAGTGATTACAAGGTCAGCTCAAACTGTATAGTGAGACCCTGTCTCAAAAAGAAAATAAAGTACAGAGGCACAATGGCCAGTCAATCAGGGACTGGTTCTTTACCATTATAGTGACCAGCCATTTCTAAGAAACAAAAGTTAACAGGATGCACTGTAACTGGAGCTATTACATGGACAACTAACAAACTGAAGTAAACTGGTTTGGGCAGGTCTTCTGCTACATCACTATGTAGTCAGGTTGGCCTCTTTGGGGCAGTCCTCCTACCTGAGCCTCTTGAGTGTTGGGATTTAAAAAAACAAAAACAAAAACTTTTTAATTCCAGATAGTCTTAATGAGTTTCCCAGACTGGCCTTGAACTTGTAATACTACTGTTTCATCTTCTAAATAATTGGGGATTACAGGCTACGTCTTTTAAAATTTCTTTGAGCAATGTTTTGTTTTCAGGGTACAGGATTTTCACTTTCTTGATTAAACTTCTGTTCATGCCAGTTATAAATGGGATTTATAAAAAATATGTAGTTTATGTATAACTGGTATAGAAATAAACCTGAGCTTTCTTGTGGTTTCTTTGGACTTTTCCATATATAGGATCATAACATCTATAAATAAAAGTAATTGGTTTTTCTTCTTCCTGTTAATTCACATTCCTTTTATGTATTCCCTAATTGTGCTGGCTGGCAACTTCTACAGTGTTAGTAATGGTGAAAAGTGTCCTTGCCTTGTTGCTGATGTCAGGATAAAGAGCTTTCGTTCTATCACTGTTGAGTGTGATGTTAGTTGTTTGTTAAGATAGTTTTCTTCTATTCACATCTTTGAGTATTTATCATGAAAACTATTGAAATTTGTTAAATGTATTGTCTACAGCAAGTGAGATGCTGATTTTAAAATTTCATTTCTAAATAAATACTAGTATGTTGATGTCCATTTAGTTACACAGAAGTTTTATTTATATACATATTTAATGCTAAACCAAGTAATATACTTTTGGAGAACTCACTCTTTAACAAAGCTTGGCTGCTCACTACTAGAATAGGTAGAATAATGGATCCCACAGAATGTCCATATTCTAATCCCTGAAACCTGTAAATATGTTGGGTTGTATTAGAATGCATGTTAAAGGGCAGTTAGGTTGCTAACAGCTAATCTTGAAACAGGAACATTGTTTAGGATTATCTAGGTGGGCCAGAATAATCACAAGGGTCTTTATAAGTAAAAGAAGGAGGCAGAAAATGAGGTAGCAAATGGAAGAAAGTCTAAGAAAAATCAAACATTGCTTTGAAGATCTGCAAAGGACTGTCTTTTTTGAGACTGAAGATCTGAGGATTGAATGCATAGCCTCATGCAAATTTAGTAAATACTTTAACACTGTGCTACATCCAAGGGCACCCCCCCCCTTTCTTTCAATCTTTTATTTATTTGGTACAGGGTCTCACTACAAAGCTCAGGCTCATAATGATCTTCCTGCCTCCCCAGCGCTAGGACTACAGGTGTATGCTGCCACCACATCCGGTTTCAGTGATCTGCATGTTTGCAGTTCTGGGGCCAGCATTGCATGCAGTACCAGGCAGCACTGTCTCCCCATACCCCAAGGACCTGTTTTAAAACTTTGACACGGGGTTTTCTTAAGTTGCCCAAGATCTTCCTTCGTCATCCTTTTGAATAGCTGGGATTACAGACAAGGCACAAAGCTTGCTTGACAGAAGATAATCTTTATTTTTTTCTTTTATTTTAAAGAAAAATACAAAACAATTTCAAAACAAAGTAATACGAGGGTAGCAATGCTTAATGCATTGCATATTGTTATCTTTAAATTGGTTACTTAGCATACAAGGTGTCAGTGTTTAATTGCCCAGAATTAATACAAACCTTTTCAATGAATTAAGAGAAATTAGTAGTATAACTACCTTAACTATCTGTCTTATGTACATGTTCGTTTATTTATTGGCTTTTTCCTTCTTTCCTCCTCTTGCCCCAACCTAATTTTTCTTTCCTTTTGAAGTTTCTTCCCATTTAACAATATCTATTGTACATTTTGGATCTTATTTACTCTTTAATTTTCTCACACTAAGACAGTATGATGTTTACACATATGCATCTGGTTTATTCACTTATGAATATTGTCTTGAGTTGCATCCATTTTTCCATAAAAGTCTCCAGTTAACTCTTCTTTATGGCTGAGTAATACTACATTTTTATAAAAAGACCACATCATTTTTATGCATTTCTCGGTTGATGGGTACTTGGGTTGTTTCCAAGATCTAGCTGCACATAGAAGACGTTAACAATTTGGTAAACATATATCACTATGGTACAATGTTTTTAATTCTTCTGGTAAGATACCCAAAGAGGGACTAGCTGGGCAAATAGGCAAAATTAATTAAGACTCTAGTCCTAGTTTTTCAAGGAATCTCCACGCTGATTTCCACAGTGATTGTATCAAGTCTGCACTCCCACCAACAGTGGAGAAGGTTTCCTTTATTCCACAGCCCCTCCAGCATTTGTTATTGTTTGCTTTCTTGGTAACAGCTGTTTTTTCTGGGCTGAGATGGAATTTCATTGTTTTAATTTGCATCTCTCAAATGACCAGTGATATTGAACAGTTTTTCATATATTTTTGTGCTGTTTATATTTCATCTGAGAAGTGTGTATTCATCTCAGATGACCGTTTTTGGATTGGGGAGTCTGGGTTTTGTTTTTTAAAATTTTTAAAGTTCTCAGTAATCCTTGTCTGAGGGACAGGTGGCAAACATTTTTTCCCATATTGTGGGTTTTCTCTTCACTCTGTTGGTGATTTCTCTTGCTGTGCAAAATCTTTTCAATAAGATGAGATCCTGATTCTTTATGATAGTTCTTGTGTGATTGGGGTTTTGTTCAGAAAGTCTTTTTGTACACCAGTGTCTTCAAGACTTTGGCTATTCTCTCTTCCAGGAGATTTAATGTTCTACTTTAATATTTAGTTCTTTCATCTATTTCAAATTTAGTTTAGTGTGTGATGAAAGATATGGGTTCAGTTTTAACCATCAGCATGTTCAGAGCCAGTTTTTCTGACACTGTTTATTAAGAGACTTACCTCTTCCAGAGAATGTGTTTGGCACCTTTGTCAAAGATAACATGGCTGAGCATATATGGAATTGACTGCGTCTTCTGATGTGTTGCATTGATTTTTTTTCTTTCTTTCTTTCTTTCTTTTTTTTGCCAGTACTATACTGTTTTCATCACAGCAGCTTTATAGCATAATTTCAGGTGAGGGATTTTGATGCCCCCTGCCTTGCATTTGTTGCCCAGAATTGCGTTTGTTATTCTAGGTCTTTCTTAGTTTCATTTTAGGAATGTTTTCTCTAATTCTGTGAGATATGCTGTTGGAATTTTGATTTGAATTGCATTAAATCTGTGTAACAGTTTTGGAAGTATGGCTATTTTCACCGTATTAAAGGATAATCTTTAGTAACACAGCGATGAGATTCTTCCCTAGAGCCTCCAGAAATGAGTGCAGTGCTGCCAACACACATGATTTTGTATTTGCCAGATTTCAGCCTACAAACATATAATGAATTTGTGTTTTTTACACTATGAAGTTTTTGGTAATATGTTACCGTAGCAACAGCAGATAGTTACGTTTTTCTACCACTTGTGATGTAGGTTTATTTCTCCAAACAAACTAAAGTTCTTGTAGATTGTTAAAATTGTATTTGTAAGTACATTATTAAATAAAAACCTATCCCAAGGTTTCCACAACCAGAAATCCCACTGTTTTTTGTTTTTCACTTCACTTATCCTGGATCCTCTGTCCAAATAGTCCTAATCTGTCCTGTTATACTTGTTACCTTCCTTTGGTTTCTAATGCTTATACAGAGTATTTATTTGTTTGTTTAGTTTTGTTTATGACAGGGTCTATCTTTATAGTTCAAGCTATCCTTGAACTCAAGATATATATCTGGCCTTGAGAGGCAGTCCTGACTCAGCCTCCCAAGTGCTGGGATTACAGGGTTTTGCCACTGTGCCCTGCTAATAAGAGTTTTAAAATACAGTATTTGCTCTTTATTAATTTTTTTTTAAAAATTTTACTTTGCATATAAATTTTTGTAAGTTGTATATAAACAATTTTTGTATCTCATATGGTAATACATTTAATTTTTTGTTTAAATCAGCTTTATCTTCCATTTTAGAAACCAAGAGATATGTGATGGCATTTTACTCAACCTTGTCTTTTCTGTTAATTCATCTTAGATATTGGCCAAAATGAATATTTATAGTATTAAAAAATGTTTTAAACTTTGCATTTGAGCATGAATGAAAAGAATTGTTTTCCTTAAAACAAAACAAGATTGTAGGAACAAAAGAAACTTAAGGAGAACTAATGAATCTTTTGCATAACACCTTTCGGGTATTTTAGTGAATGTGATATCTGTGTCTTATAGAATGGAGATGTATGCATTTCGATTCTTCATCCACCTGTAGATGACCCACAGAGTGGAGAACTGCCTTCTGAAAGGTGGAATCCTACTCAGAATGTGAGGTAAGGTGTTACAAGGAATAAATGCTTTGTGTGTGTGTGTGTGTGTGTGTGTGTGTGTGTGTGCACGCTTTGAAGAGACGGTCTGAATTTATCCCCAGTACTGTAATCAGGCCTTGAATTTCTAGACTCCAGGAATTCTGCCTTACCTTTTCCCAAGAACCTAGGAACCCACAGGAACTAATCACCTGCATAATTTTTTGTGTATGTGTTAGAATCTCATTTCTTCTAGTACAGTACAATTTACATTATTTTTTAACCTGTGCAAAAGAATCATTTCTGTGTTTGGCCATTTGATCTTCAGGTTTAGGTAAAAGTATGTGTGCATCATTTTGTTTTGGTTTTTGGTTTTGTTTTATGCATCATTTTGAAACTCTTGTATGTTTTGAGCAGCAGTGCATGTGATTCTCATTTTCCTGTGTTCATTGTGGAGAAAATTTTCAAGCCTTAGTTGTTCCTCCTACATTACCTTAAATTTGGCTCTGCTTTGAATCCTGTGACTTCTGTGTTTAAATTCCTTTATAAAAAATTGTTTTTTTTTAATTTTGAGAAAGAAATAGCAATGAGACAATTTCAAACAGGTCAGTAGGACAGTTACAATAATTAATACATTGCATATTGTTGTCCTCATAGTAGTCATTCATAGTACAAGATGCAGACGTGATATCTGGTCGAAACACTGTTATACAAATCTTTCTTCTCATTGAACTAAGAGAAAGTAGCTGCATGTCTAACCTAATTTGTATATACAGTATGTATGTATGTATTTACACTATAAAGTGATCCATTTATATCCTCCTTTTTTAGTTTTGTCAGAGATGGGTATTCCATTGCCATTCAAATATTGAGGTGCATGAATTCAGGAAAATAATCCAGTATAGTCCAGTAGACCATCATAATATTGGTTTATCTGCAGGACTGGCAATATCAGAAGTTGTTGACTTGAGCCATTTACAGCTCAGTATATGGGGGCCTGCCCCTTAGCTCAGTTCTTTTAAGTGGCTGCTTCAACAAAGCAGCCAGGCTCAGGTTGCTGTGGTTCATTCCCACAACACAAGCCAGCCAAACCTTCCCTGAAGGCATTCGGAGCCCCCCCCCCCAAAAAAAAAATCCTTCTGTAGCTCAGCATATTAATATGGCTTTACATTTTATACCTCATGTTTGTACTTTTCTGCTGGATGGTAAGTGCAACACTCATTCATGTTCAAAGTCCTCCAAAAAATTGGAATAGATGGCCTCTACCTCAATCTGATAAAAGCTATCTATGACAACCCAATGACTAACATAATTCTAAATGGGGAAAAACTGAAAACTTCTACTCTCAGATCTGGTACAAGACAAGGATGACTTCTATCACCACTCCTATTCAATATAGTTTTGAAATCATTAGCTAGAGCCATTGGACAAGAGAAATAAAAGGAATAAGAATAGGTGAAGAAGTTAAGCTATCATTATTTGTAGATGATATGATACTGTACCTAGAAGACCCAAAAGCTCCACCAAGATACACAAATTCAGTAGCATAGCAGGATACAAAGTCAGTACCTAAAAGTCTATATTACTCCTCTACAGAGATAACAAATACACTGAGAGGGAAATTAGAGAATATCTTTTACAATAACACCGCAGAAAATGAAATACTTAGGAATTAACCTAAAGAAATAAAAGATCTATTCAATGAAAATTACAGTACTCTGAAAAAAGAGATTGTAGAGGATTTCAGTAAACTCCTTGTTTTAACTTTAGTGTTTCTTTTACTTTTGAAGGAAAGTCTTAGATTTTACAAACTCAAAATTGAGTTTATATATTGCTTTTATAAGTTGCCCAGATGTTCTGTGTGTGTGTGTGTGTGTGTG